TAATTAGCCCCATAGTTACCAGGAAGAGACACAAGGCAGAAGAATCCTACCTGAAATACCAACCTTAACTAAAAGATATGGAAATTTGAGGGGATTTTTCTAGTGATCTTTAGAGAATGCAGCATTTTTGATCAGAAGAAAGTTCATCTCTGTGTGTACAAAATTTGTATTTGTAGTTAAGGAGTCCTCTGCAATATTATAACTTCTCAAAAAGTGTGCAGAATCTCTAGATAGATTGGAGGAGATATTTATAAAAGAAAAACAAGAAGTTTAGTATCTGATATGATTGAAGAAAAATTAAACCTAAAGTAAAGGAGAAAAGAGGAGTGTTAATATGGAGAAAGAAGATAACAAGGCTTTTGTGGGTTTTTCTTCATAGAGGTAAATCTGTCCTTGCTGAGAAAGAAATAGTACCATTTGGTCATAGAACATTTATTAGGCATTGTAAAGGAATGCCTTACTCAAAAAGCACAGATATTTTAAGAGGGGTAGCAACTTCACTGTCAATGTTAAGGAAACATGGAGAAAATTTACCCACCTGAAAATGTGAATTTTCAGACTGTCTAGACAAAGAAAGAACATGAATGATGTATGTGTTCCTACATACCACAAAATTAGTACCAAGTAAAGATATAGTAGTGATGTTGGACTTTATCTAGATGTCTTCTGAAACTTTTATTCAACTAAAATAGCCCATTTTGATAAGTGCTTTCATGCTAGTAAGTTCTCCCAGAGAATGGGGGAAGAAAATAGGGCAGCTACTATTCTGGCATTAATTTTAATTGACAGTGAGGAATTGGTTGGGAGAGTGGAAGTGAAAGAGTCCAAGTAGATGAGGGAAAAAAAAAAAAAAAACATGGTAAACTGTTTTAATATACACAGATAGTTTCTGCTTCTCCCTCAGAGAAGATTATACTTCCCTGCCCCATTGACATGAGCATAATCATGTAACTTGCACAGGCCAAAGAATTGTGAGCAGAAATGACATATGTACGTTACTTCTGGACAAATACTTTTAGCACATAGTCTTCCATGCTCTTTTTTCCATCGGCCACAATACCTTAGAAAGAAGCCGTTCCATCAGCTTCTGGCCAGCATGGACATGTAGCATACGTTTTTTTTAAAAAAGCCAATTCATTGTTGTAAACTAGTGGTTTTCAGTCAGGGATGATTATGTCCCCCTCCTCTGTCCCCAAGAGGACATTTGGCAATGTCCAAATACATTTTGGTTGTCACAGCTAGGGGAGTGCAACTGGCATGTAGTGGATAGAAGCCAGTTATGCTGCTAAATATCCCACAATGCACAGTTCAGGCCCTCACAACAAAGAAGTATCTGGCCGAAAATGTTAATATTGCTGAGATTGAGAAACCTTGCTGTAAGCTTCTGGGGTTGGTTATGACTACAACATAACCTAGCCTATCCTGACTAGTACAGAAACTATCACCTTCATTTTATAATGGCCAGTGCAGAAATAGTGAGGCATAACCAATTTGGTACCCTGGAAATTAGGAAGGCAAGTTTAGAAGAAAAAAAAATAGGTATCATACCATAGCATAAAATTTTGAAGGTGACTCAAAAGGTTCAGAATCTTCCAGTTCCACAACTATTACTGTCAGTTGCAAATATTCTAGATAAATAAAAGCCAGACAAAAAGGTCTAAAGCCAATTTGGTTACACAGTGAATTCTTTAGTGAACTCAAGTATTAAAAGAAAGGTTTATAGTCAAAGATAAATGAGTCTCTTGTAGTTCTCTAAAAATAGCATTTAAAAAAACTAAGATCCAAAATTAACATAATTTAGACCTGCAAAAAGTGCTAATAAGGGCCGGCCCGGTGGCGCACTTGGTAGTGCGGCGCTTGGGAGCGTGGCGGCGCTCCCGCCAAGGGTTCAGATCCCATATAGAGACCGGTCTGCTCACTGGTTGAGCACGGTGCAGGCGCGACACCGAGGGTTGCGATCCCGTTGCCGGTCGCGGTACGGGCGCAACACTGAGGGTTGCAATCCCGTTACTGGTCATGAAAAAAGACAAAAAGGAAAAAAAAAAGTGCTAATAAGATCCAGAGATTTTTTTTTGTTTTAGGGTATTAGCCGCAAAATCAACATAGAAATGGATCTCTTGTTTGATCTTTATGAACTCCATACATAAAGAAGCAGAGCAACTCTACGAGGGTTGCCTCATTCCATTATCACAAGCTGTTAGCCTCATCTGGACTGCCTACTTTCTATTCTTCCATATCTGTTCTCCATCATCTTTTTAAGACAATAGACATTTTTAGTGCTGGCTCTTAAGCTTTGCATGTACTTAAGGCATAAGAAGAAATTACTACCCACACTGTTGCATGGAATCGCCCCTACTTGGAAATCTTGGAAATGATAGATTTTGAATATACCTATTCCTTCTTTTTTTTTTTTTTTTCCTTTTTGTCTTTTTTCGTGACCGGTAACGGGATCACAACCCTCGGTGTCGCGCCCGTACCGCAACCGGCAACGGGATCACAACCCTCGGTGTTGCGCCCGCACCGCGCTCAGCCAGTGAGCGGACCGGTCTCTATATGGGATCCGAACCCTTGGCGGGAGCGCCGCACTCAACTGAGTGCGCCACCGGGCCGGCCCGACCTATTCCTTCTTACTAGTCAGAGCTAAACAAGGATCGAATGCTCTAAACAAGGGGTACAGGTTCCTAGTCTTTAAGTATTTTCAAGCAAAGGCAAGAGAGCCATTTGGTTGACTATTCTGTTCCAACCCTGATCGTCTATAATTCTAAATTAAAAGTCTGTATTGATGGTAAAAACAAATTTATCACGATGTGTCTCTCAACTGCTACCATATCTTAGCCATGTCTCAAAGTAAGATACTGTGAAATAAAGATCCCAGTCCTTCTGTGGCCGTAAAAATTCCCTTTGAACCTTCTCTCTCAGTATAGAAGAGTCCTGATTAGAATCCAACTATATTAACTGTGTAGTCCATGAGAATTTCTTCATCTCATTAGGAGGATTCTCTAATCTACCTGTCGAAAGCTGTTGGTTGGATTTTATTACCTGTTACCACATCTGAGTCACCAAATGCACATTCTGAAATACCTCACTGTTCATTGTAGGTCCCCCAAGTTCATAGCAGCATTACTGCCTAGATGTGGTCAATAGCAATGGTAGTTGTTTGTATACTTACTCCTCACCAGTTTATTGAGTGGCAGGAAATTTAGTAAAAGTGGAAACCATTAGTTAATCTATGTTCTCACTTTGGTACAGCCTAGTGATGAGAATCATACCTAATGTTTTCTCTTTAATGATAGTAATGAAGATGAGGTTTACAGCATTTGGGACACATTCTCAAATTGTTATATTCTTTGTTAAGCTCAATTATTTGTAAAGTATATCTCAATTAAAACTTATGAAATCAAAACTGGGGGTAGCTTAATGGTAAAGTGAGGCAAAATTTAAGAAAAGGTTTTATAATATAATGTGACATTTTTAAAGATTAAAGTGTGTTTGATGGATTCCTAGTTTTGGTATTTGTTGTACTAAGTCTTAGTTCTGTGCCTTCAGACTCTTGGGCTTAAAAATGTCAACCTACCCCCCCAAAATAATGGACAAGTCACAAAATAATACAGGTAGCAAATAAACATTCTAAAAATTAAATATTACTAGTAATTGAAGAAATACAAATTAAAATATCAGGCTACCATTTTTCCCTATTAAGATTTTTTTGGTGTTTTCTCTTACAAAAGTGTAACACTTCTTTACTCTAGAAAATAAGAAATACAAATAAGAGAATAGATGAAAACAGTTTTTAAAAATCCATAATCCCATCACAGTGGTGATACAATAAACATCTCATTATGTAGATGTCAGTATTATTTCTATCCATGTCTAAAATTTTTCTAATAGTCTCCTATTAATGTACCCCTGAATTTCTTGTCATTATAAATAATGTTATAATAATCCTCTACATTAATCTTTTTTTGTATCTTTGATTACGTTGTTAGGACTAATTCTCAGCTATTGCTGAGTCAAAGCATATTGCATTTTTAAAGCTTTTAATACCTGTTGCCAAATTGCTAACCAGAAGTGGTGTATCAAGTGCAAGAGAGTATTGGTTTATTCTTTCTCTTGTCTATATTGTTGACATTGTTTTCTTATCTTCAGCATTTTGGTAACTCCAAAATGGTATCTTTTTTAAATTTGTACTTCTTTGATTAATAATCAGAACTTATTTTATATGTCCTAACAAAATACTACAAATTATAGAAAACTCTACATTATCACAGTATTTATAAAACAAACAAAAATGCACACATCTAAATGTTCAACAAAATGAAAGTGATTAAATAAATTATGTTAATTCTAAATAATAAACTATGTAGCTATTAAAACAAATGTGTGAAATATTTTTACTGGCATAGGAAAAATATATTTTTCCTAAAACAATTAAAATGGTAAGTTTTTATGTATAATTTGATCTCTAACATTACTCTTTTTAAACATAGAAGAAGAAAAAAAAACTGAAAAGTAATATGCCAAAATGTAATTGCTTCTTTCTTTTTTTTGGTTGCTGGCTGGTATGGGGATGGAATCCTGGGCCCTTGATGTTAGGAGCGCTATGCTCTAACCAACTGAGCTAACTGTCCAGCCCCAAAATGTAATTGCTTTTGTCTGGTGATAGGTGATTTTTGATATTTCATAAGTTTCAATATCACATTTTTATAATTAATGTTTATGCCACATTAGTAAAGATAACACATTTTTATTAAGTACACTACAGAAATGGTACAGTAGGAAACTGTTCACCTCCAATTTGTGTAGCATGTATTATAAAGGTAATATTAAACATTTGATGTTGAAACAGGGAGCATGAATAGATAAATAAGATTCTGGTAAGCAGTTAAATAGCCAGTTGTCAAAATGTTAAAAGCTCCACTTGCTTGATAAGCTGTTGGTAGAATCACCTGAAAATGTAATGCCATTTATGATTTTTTTTTTTTTTTTTTTTCCCTTTTTAGGTTGCTGCTGTTGATCTTCTGGTTCCTGGAGTTGGGGAACTCTTTGGTGGGAGCCTCAGAGAGGAACGGTACCATTTCTTAGAGGAGCGCCTGGCCAGGTATTGGTCAGACAGAAATTGGAGATGAGGCACTCAAAGGTGGTCATGGCAGAGTAGCAGAGAAAAGCAAATGGGCCTTGGCACCTGACAAACCTGGACCTCAGATTTTATGTGACCTTGAGCAAGTTATTAATTAACCTCTCTGAGCTTCCCTGTCTTTAAGACTGGAACTGTTATATGAAACAAGCCCATGAAGATATTTGCCCACTGTTTGTACATTTCTCTTCCTATGGAAAATAGCTTTCTAAAAAGTTAATAATAAAAAGAGGAAGGGAGATTTCCCTCTCAAAGTTTGTCCTACATTTTTCTCTTATCTGTATTAAATTTTATTTGCTGTCAATTATGATTGGCAGACTCTTAACAGTGATATAAAGACAGACTCTGAACCAGGGAAAGGATAAAGGTGGACAAAGAAAACTACTAAAAATATCTGCTAAGCTAGCATTTAGAATAAGCAGATTTGTCCTCCTCAGGTTCTCTACTATATAAGGGTCTTGATTTAGTTATTTGAATAACTTTATTTTAACTTACTTTTTGAGACCTGGGAAATGAATCCATAAAACATAGAAAATGTTTTGGATATGGGAAGTAGAGAATCATATTTCTAATAGACCTACCACTCCTGTATGTGCATGATCTGCCAACAAACTATAATGACTTCCTAAACTAACCAAAGTTGTAAACCTCTGTTTCCCATGATTTCAACTTTTGCTGTGCCAGACTTTAAAAAAGAAGAGACATTCTCATGTCTGTATGCTTAATCCTTCTCTCCAGATAATACCAGTTTTCGTGGTAACCTGGGAAAGTCATAATTATTTGAAAATATCCTGTTAAATTAGCCATTTGTAAAGCCTTCTTTTCCTAATGGAGAAATGTTTAAATAGTTGACAACTTTTCCATGATCCCAACCTATAAATTTCTTGGATGACATAGTTTTGTAATCCCAGTCATCTGAACTGCCCTATTGGTTTAGGATCCAGAAGAAAGGGGATAAATAGGTTCTGGGAAGACGTTTTATCAGTTACACTACTAGCTCCTTTCTATACAATTATGTTATAAAGTCCTGGGAAAGCTGTGGAATTGAAGTGAGTGAGGGTCAGACTCTTCAGATGGAAAGAATCTGAGGATTTTCTGAGTTTTTTTAAAAGCACAATAAAAATCACACATGCCAAGAAACCTCATCTGTTGAAAGATTAATTGGTCTGTTTTCTTTGCTTGCTTCCTTCCTCCAGGAAACTTTTTCTCATAACATTATATGTTTACCTAGTATCTGATAATATCCAAATTTATCTTTCCTAAATAAATGGATATATGTATTTCCCTATCTCAGGGATCTTTCTGTAGCTACTCTTCATGTTTTCTGTATTTTTGTGTATTTGAATTTTTTCTTAGTCTTGATTCCTTCAGATATACTGTGGTCCCAAACACTTTTTTTAAAGGGCTGAGATTAATTTTAATGAACACTAAGAGCTTAAAATTTTAACATTTCTCAAATTAAACAAGAACCACTTCACAACCATATTATGAAGACAGCCTCACAGCCTCAGAATCTGTTATTGTTTTAATGTTATAGAATGAAAGTTGTATCTGTGTGTTCCTTGTCTATATGTGCCTCTCAACAACCTTAACTAGAAATAATAATGCTTTCTTACATCACAGGACAATAAACTCATCTCAGATGAATCCCTTTTGGGCTCTGGATCATATTTTCTTTCTATAGCATTTATTGTCTGTATCACTTATTTGATGATACCTTGGGCTATTTGTTAACTTACTATCAAGTTTTAGCTCCTTAACTATATTACATGTTATTTGAGAGTACAGGATTTATCGTGTACTTCTTTATAAGGAACTCTGCACACAATCCAGAATAAATGTTTGGTGGTTAATGTGTTTATCTTATTGCCATTCCCTAAAAGAATTTTGTTATTTTCCTTTTACAGATCAGGACTTAGAGAAGTCTACCAATGGTAAGAATGTGGCCCCTAGCGGTTCTTATTCTAGCTGCTTGTCTGAGTGTTACATAGAAGAGTTTTTACTTCTGTTCACAAGACCCTATGGAAGAGTGTTAAGAACAGTGAATAGGGGACTCAGAAGATTACTTATAACCCTTTGGGTCCTTGAAAAATAGTAATAATGATGAATATCATTTATTTATTACTTATTGTGAGTCAGATAACTGTATTAAAAGTTTCATATATATATTACTTCATGTAATCATCACAACACCCTGTGAGTTACGTACTATTATTATCCCCTTTTTAATTACCCCTCTAGGCCTGAGGCCTAGAAATATTAACTAACTTCATCAAGATCACAGTTAGAAGCATGAAGCTGGGACTTGATCTCTCTGAATCAAAAATCTTTGCTCTTAACCCTTATGCTTCAGATTCTCTATGTGTGAAATTGGGACTTGAGCTAAGTGATTCCTAAGATTCCACAAACTTTAGAAATTTGAGCTGCTTAGGGAAGACCGGCTGTCCTTACTCATATGTTCACTTCCCAAAAGTTATTCTGATTTTCTTTCTGCAAACCCCTTTCTTCAAGTACTTTTCAATATATACAAATTATTCATTATACTTCTGTAATAGTACTCCTTCAGGACCTTGGTATAATATCAACAATATTATTAATACTTTTGGTGTCCTCAGAAGGAGGAAGGGGAAAGTTACACACTTGCCTTTTGGTAATGAAGAAGATAAGTTTCAGTGACGTAAAAAAGCTGAAATTGGGTTTAGATAATGGCCCTTGAATGCCTTATATTTACTAGTGTTGATCTTAGGCTTAATCTCTCAGAGTCTTGGATTTCTAGGCTATAAAATGGAATAATAATATCTACTTCACAGGTTATTGTAAGGGTAAAATGAAACAATATAGGTTAAATATCTATAAGGGTACTTCAGAAAATTCATGGAAGTATTTTGTTATCTTTTAATTCTGTTTTTCCCGAACTTTTTCAAGTACCCTCATACATAGAGTAGAAGCTCAGTATATGCTAGTTTCCTACCCCTTCTCCTTTCTTTGTTCTGAGTCTTGCTATTAGGTAGGTAAGCCTAATTGAGCAAGCTTATGTATTTTATCTCAGATTCTTTCTGTCAGTGAGATAATACTCATAGTGTGTAAGAAGTAGCCTTAATAAAGACCTAAATACAAATTTTAATTATTGGTTAAGTAAGTTTAGACTTTTCTGGTCTTTATTGATCTTTTCTGTATTATTCTTTTCCCAGTTAAAGTTTTCAAGCTTGTAAGATTTCTGAATATGAATACTTGTTATTTGAATTTGCTTCCTTTTATTTGGCAATCATAGTATATTCAAGGTAAAAAGGACCTTAGAAATTTTCACCTCTGTGATCTCTGCTAGTGTTCCACCATGCTGTGGGTGGAATATGAGTTCCTAGATGTCTAAGGATTTACTCACTTCTCATTTCTACATGCCATATACAAATAAAATCTGTAACTAGTTCCACGAATTTTGTAGCATCTCTTCTATAATCTGGCTACCCTAGAATCAATTTAACAGCAAACAAATACATACACAATTAGAAAACTTTTTCCTTAGTAGTGGATTTTTTCCATCTATCAAAGCAAAGGCAAGAGAAACGCTACAAAGTGAATTCTATTGCTGAATTCAGTTTGTTGATGTTCATCCCAATGTTTGATCAATACATAAGTTTAGCCCCATTAAGACTATTGCTGGGCATCCGTCAGCCAGCTCCACTCCTGCAGTTGTTTGTGACAGGTGGTTTGGTGTGCCCTTCATCTCATTTTATCACTAAATCAAATGACTTATGAACTCAAAGTTAATTCAGCTACCAAACATCTTAATTATTTAAAACTATGTTCCTTCCATTATTTCTTATAGTTCTCACTAACCTGAAGTTTTACACTGGCTACCCCTGTGAGATTGGTCTCTCAACTGGTTGCAATTCATCTAGTTGCAACTCATCTTTTATTTTAGAAAGATAAGTCCTTAATTTTAACTTCCTAAAATATCACTACAAGTATTCATTATTATTAACAGTGGGGAATAGGTGATAGACTATCTTTATGCTTGAGGAGCCAAATGGCTACCAGCTATGGCACTTAAGTCTTATTGTGGAATTGATTTTATCAGTCATTCAAGAAGCTATAAACCTGTTTTAATCAATTCTATATAACTTAAGAATTTCCCCACCAAATGACATAATAAAAATATTTATAGAGTCTTCCTTTTCCTCTTCTCTTCCTAAAATAACTTTATCCCATGCTGGTATATTGGAATCTCACTTTCAATCATGGCTGCGGTCATAAGTGGGAACAGAATGTGAGTGCATGGCCTTCAGAGGCTGTCTAGCCTGCCAGAAAAATTGACTCTGGGCATCTTCACTAAGCGTGAAGCAGAGAATTGGAAGTTTCTCCTCACTCCAGCACTCAAGCATGTATTTTTGTGCCTTCAAATAATAAGTTTTCATGTAGTAAGCACCTCCCTGGAGATAAAAGGTTGAGTGAAACACAGTTCCTGCCCCTGATGTAGCTTACAGTCTAATCCAGGGAATATCTTTTTGTAAGGTATCAGGCAAAACTCTTCACTCTCGTGTGTTGAACAATATGATTTTGGTAAGGAAAAAAAAGCATTAACATACCAAGAAATAGAAGAGGAATGTATTTTCAAGAAAATTAATAAAGCTATTAGAAATTTCTCTATAGCTTTATGAGGCAAGTTTCTTTACATAATTGTGTAGATAACTTAGAAAAGAAAAAGGACCAAGTGACCAAAATCCACAACTACGTGACAGGTTCTACAGCTGCTTGGGTAACCTTGGATAGATAGATCACTGTAATTTCTCAATTTCCATCATCTATCTGTGGAGGGGAAAAACTGGTCTACCACAATGATGTGGGCAATAACAAATGATTGCAAGATGCTTTTGAAACAAAAAATTCTATCATAACATCTGATCTCATACAGCATTTATAGATGATGATTCTCTGTTTTTAAAAAACAGGTATCTAGACCTTCGTCGATTTGGATCTGTGCCACATGGAGGTTTTGGGATGGGATTTGAACGCTACCTGCAGTGCATCTTGGGAGTTGACAATATCAAAGATGTCATCCCTTTCCCAAGGTTTACTCATTCATGTCTTTTATAGCTGGAAGATCGGTTAAGGAAAAGCACCCATGGGAGAGGCACTACACATGAATATGCATATGGGAGAATGCAAGTTTGAATTTTTAAAATGCAGATTTCAATATGTAATTGTTGTGCCATAAGATATAATGTGTGAAAAATAGAACTGATTATGATTTTCTTAGAAAGTCAAGGGTATTTGATGGAAGGATGAACCAACTGCCCCAAGAAGTACTTATAGCAAGTGGACTCTCAAATCTATTACCTCGATTAAGAAAGGAAGAAATGGAACTAAATGGTCTCAAAGGTCCTTTCAAATTCTACGACAAGATGAGATAGTATATTTTACTCTGTCTTTAATCATTAGATCACTTCCCTATATAACTTTTGAGAAACAACTTATAGCTAAAAATAAAATGTTGGATCTTTTCTCCCTTGCCATTTAACCTGTAATAAATGCCCGTCTTATTCTTAGTACTTTACTAAGCATTGCAGAAGAAAATATTCCTTTTTACGGTCTTAATTGATTTAATGAAGTTGCTATTCTGAATTAAAATCTTTCATTGGACTGAGTGAAAAAAATCACATTTAATAACTTGATCTGTAATTATAAAAGCTAATGAAATCTTGTATTAATTATTTAAGCTCTCTAATCACTGTTGTGTTATGATTAGTTTAAATAAGATGTTTATAACATCTCTAATAATCAATAAAATAGATTAATTGATACCTAGTAAAAAAGTTCTATTTTTAAATTTCATTTGGTCCTTTCCTAGTAAAATTTGGAACAAAGGTATTTTCAGTCCAAAATGAGAATGGAAATATGGCTAAGCCTAAAGGATGAGTAATTCTAGTGTCAAAAAGTAGCATGGGGCCCTGAGTTCCTTCTTTCTCGACAAGGTGGCCACGTTGCAGTACCAGCAAGTACTCTTCCTGCTGCTCCAGCCACAGTCATGCCAGAGGCCCCAGCTTCAACCCAAGCTCCAGCTGTGCCTCTGGCCTCATCCTCAGATCTGGTAGCAGTAGTGGCTGTCACCGTGGCCCCAGTCCAGATTCCAGCCTCAGCGCAAGCCCCAGCGCAGACCCCAGGACCCTCACTGCCTCGTCCTGCTCTCCCAGGGTTCTTCCCCAGCAGCCGTGTGGTCAGGCTGCACCTGGTCATTTTGGCCTCCATCACAGACAGCTACAAGTGACACAACGATGGCACTGCCCAAGTTATTTGGACTCTGCTGGGAACTGTTGACAAGCACTCAGTGGAGTTCACCAGTTGTTTTTCAGTACCACACAACAAGTCAGAAGATGAGTGGGTGTTGACAGGGAATTTGCTGAGAACATGTATGAATTGCAAAAAAAAGTCTCTCCAAATCAGTTCATCCTGGGCTAGTACGCTACAGGTCATGACATCATAGAGCACTCTGTGCTGATCCATGAGTACTATAGCTGGAAGGCCCCCAACCCCATTCACCTCACTGTGAACACGAGTCTCCAGAATGGCTGCAGGAGCATCAAGGCCTATGTAAGCACTTTAGTGGGTTTCCCTAGGAGGACCATGGGAAGGATGTTCACATCCCTGACAGTGAAATGTGCATATTATGACACTGAACACGTAGGAGTTGACTTGATCATGATCTCAACGAGGTGATTGGACTCTCAGGTGACTTGCAGCAAGTAGGAGGGGCATCATCGCTCTTATCCAGCATGCCCTGAGCACAGTGTTACAGTATACAGAGGATGTACTGTCTGGAAAGGTGTCAGCTCACAATATTTTGGGCCACTTTTTGATGATCCTAATTAACCAAGTATCCAAAATAGCTTCTGAGGACTTTGAGACCATGCTCAACAGCAACATCAGTGACCTTCTGATGGAAACATACCTGGCCGATCTCAGATAGTCAGAGATTGCCCTCCATGAGAAACTTGTAAACCTATGACCGGGCCCCAAGCAGTTCTCCTGCCAGTCTGGGTCTCAGCCCCAGGACTCAGTGAAAGAGAAGTGGTTTCTTTGTGGTCTTGAGTCACACTGAGTCAGTCAACTGCTTGTGACTCTAAGTAAATATAGCCTACCTTTTGTAAGTGGCAGAAAAAAAATAAAAAGCATGGTCTGCTAAAGTGAGAAGTGCATTGATTTGGGAGTTTTGAGACCTGACAGGTCTAGCACTTTGGACAAGCCAATGATCTGAAGCATCATTTCCCTCACAGAATTGATATAATAATTACATGAAAGACTGTGAGTGTGTGTATTTAAAACTGAAATGCTACAAAAAACTTTTTTAAAATTATTTGTTTTAGTCTTTGTTGAGTTATATGTATATGTGCATATATATGTATGTATCAAATAATTGTAAAAGGTATACATGCCTGAATAATCAATTCTCTAAGTCTCATTAGATGGCCATCTCTTAGATTATTTTCTAATGAGTTTGTATATGTAGTTTATTTTAGCCTAATTTAAAATTAAATAGCTGAAAAGAAATGAAACTCCAGAACCTTACAGTTAGAAGATAACTGAGAGGCCGTCAAGGTTATCCTTCTCCCTAATGCAGAGATTCTATCTACCTGGGCACTTTTCCTGCCTCTTCTCGATAAAGAGCTTAATATCCTACAAAATTGCTCATTTCTTTTCTGAATCTTTCTAATTGGTATCTTTTGCTGAGCTAAAATCTCAGCTAAGATATAGTTCCCTGGAACCTTATTCCCTTGGGCTTAGATACCAAGTTTGGGACAGGATAAAAGGTAAAATTGGGGCTTCCATAAGGCTTGCCTCACCATAATTAAAGAGAGGAGCTAAATGACCCTGCCTTCATGGAATTTACAATCTTTTGGAGAAGATACATATAGGTAAATAAATGTATTATTTCAAAATATGTGATATAAAGTTACATAAAGAACAAGTCAAGCATAGATAAGCTTGCTAGAGAAGGCATCTCTGAAAAAATATTTAACATTAAACCTGGAAGATAAAGTACAGAAACCATTTAAAACATTTGCAACATCAGCCACTATTGATTTGGCATAAGTTTTACATGATAGCATATTAATTTTATAGAACAAGAGTCACAGACATTCACAGACCCAGACCCTGGAGGCACTGTAGTTTCCAAGACTCTCAGGAATCATGCCTTCCATGATTTTTGAGGAACCAAATAGATTGTATTGTTAACATTATGGGGGGCATCAAAAATAACAGTGATATAAAGAATGCTGGGGCCGGCCCGGTGGCGCACTGCGATAGTGCGCCGCTTGGGAAGCGCGGCGGCGCTCCCGCCGAGGGTTCGGATCCCACATATAGACCGGTTCCCGCTCACTGGCTGAGCGAGGCGCGGGAGCAGCACCGAGGGTTGCGATCCCGTTGCCGGTCCCGGTCCGGTACGGGGGTGACACTGAGGGTTGCGATCCGTTGCAGGACATGGAAAAAGACAAAAACAAACAAAAAAAAAAAAAAGAATGCTGAGTTAGGGCCGAGCCCGTAGTGCACTCGGGAGAGTGTGGCGCTGGGAGCGCAGTAGCGCTCCCGCCGCGGGTTCGGATCCTGTATAGGATGACCGGTTCGCTCACAGCGCCCACTGGCTGGGCGGGGTGTGGCTGGTCTCAAAAAGGACAAAAAAAAGGTCCGGCCCGGTGGCGCACTGCTACAGTGCGCCACTTGGGAGCGCGGCGGCGCTCCTGCCGAGGGTTCGGATCCCACATACAGACCGGCCGCTCGCTGGCTGAGCGAGGTGCGGGTGCAACACCAAGGGTTGCGATGCCGTTGCCGGTCCCGGTCCGGTACAGGCGCGACACTGAGGGTTGCGATCCGTTGCCGGTCACAAAAAAAGACAAAAAAAAAAAGGGAAAAAAAGGACAAAAAAAAGGTCCGGCCCGGTGGCGCACTGCTACAGTGCGCCACTTGGGAGCGCGGCGGCGCTCCTGCCGAGGGTTCGGATCCCACATACAGACCGGCCGCTCGCTGGCTGAGCGAGGTGCGGGTGCAACACCAAGGGTTGCGATGCCGTTGCCGGTCCCGGTCCGGTACAGGCGCGACACTGAGGGTTGCGATCCGTTGCCGGTCACAAAAAAAGACAAAAAAAAAAAGGGAAAAAAAGGACAAAAAAAAAAAAAAGAATGCTGAGTTAGAGAAATACCAGTTTCTGGTCCCAGGACCATACTTAATTTAGCTGTGGAACATTAGGCAAGTAAAATAATCTTTATAGCCTCCAGTTATTTCATTTTCAGAACTACCATTTTGAAGTAGATAAGCTTAAAGGATCCTTATATCAATCTTCTGTGAATCTGCTGGATATTGTCACTAATAGTAATTTATAGTCTAACCTTTAGACCCCCCCATTGATCCCTATTTTAGTACATACTAGGTCTCCAAAAATGTGTAATGAAGTCAGATCACTACAAGTTGAACAATAGAGTTAAGTGTGTTCAACTTACATGTATGTGGGGTAGGGAAAAGTCTTTCTCAAGGAATCTAATGTATTGTTTCTGGCCTTTGTTATAGCCTTCAACAGTATATTTCCAAAACTTTATACTTATTTATTCATTCCTTTGCTTGACAGTTGATCACACAATGAGCATCTGGTTGAGGCCAAACACTCTCTGCCTATAGCAAGCCTACTCATTTCCATCTTTTGTTTAATACTTCTCTTTTACCAATAATTGAACAAAAACACTGATTCAGACAAAGGTGATGAAAATGCCAAAACTAAACTGTTGCTTGCAGGCAACTGTAGAAAACCTAAAATGTCCATTCATCAGCTGATATATGACTATCGAAATTCTACATATAAATAGTATTATCTAATTCTATGTATAATGAATAAAATAATTTAATAGTTGAATATTTTATATACTATAATAATAGCCTTACAGTGTTCAATTTGTGAGTTAAAAGGTGATTTGACAGTGTGTTAGTTTTTTTACTTAAGTAGCCACTTTCCATGGGGGAAAAATCAGATTCTGTTTTCCCAAGATTTCCAAACATCATTTCAAAATAGTAACCGCAGCAACCCAAGTAAGCATATACTCTAAAACTTAGAATGTTTTTTCCATCAATTCCCATTCTCATTTCAAATTTTGAGGTAGGTGGAGAAAAATAGTTATTTTCCATCTGGCTGTCCTCTTGCCTGGGGGAAGTTGTGCTGTCATGTTTTTTGGTCTGACAAGAACTTAATTGTGCGAGTGATCGAGTCCAGATCTAGACATAACTCTCCCACCCTCTAACCCAGTCCAGAGACTCTTTAACTGTCACAGAACAGCAGAGGAACTGTTTGACCTTTTGTCCCTCTCAGGATCTGCCAGAAGCCTCCCTCTACAATGTTATATATTCATATTCTCTATAAATTGAATCTAGACATTCAAGCATGACTGAACAGGCATTGAAGATGCAGTTGGGGAGATGGATTAAGTCTACCTATCTTTAAATCTCTTGCTTTGGATAATTATAAATGAAAGATGCTTATTTGGATTGGATTACTATTTACTCATATATTTATTTTAGTAAGTGGTGAGGCAAGAACTTAAAAATGCAGAGCTGAAAGACAGATTGGCCTGGATTGAAGTGATAAGAAATGTGTGGGGTGTTTTGGCTTCTGATCAATATTTGTATTTAGTCTGAAATCTAAAATATGTATAATAAAAAGAAAACAGGTGAGAGTAATTTCTTATTGTAATTTCTTCCCAGTGTACACTCCAAATTAAAAGATATAAATTACATTAACTAAAGAGCAGAAAGCAACCTTACTCACCCTGTACTG